ACGAACTTACGTACTCACCCTCCCCACTGAAAATCTGGATCCTAGCATTAACATAGTCAACCACGAAAATATTTTCAGAATATGCTATTCCCGCTGGAAAGTTAAATTCCCCCTTTTTGTTACCTTTCCGACCAAAGGATCTTAAGTAATTTCCATAACAACTGAAGATTTGAACTCTGTGGTTCTCACAGTCAGTTACAGCTATCTCGTCCCTGGCATTTACTGCCACCCCCCAGGGATACTGAAACATTCCGACAAACGAACCTTCTTTTCCAAAAGATAATGCAGGTCTGACCTGAAAAAGCTGTCCTTTAACGGTGAAAGGACTGCCGAGAATATGTCCTCCGTTTACCTTTACTGTCACTTTGTATCTGCCTTGTTCGTTTGGAGAACAGCTGATCGTGTAGCTTCCATCCTTATTGTCATTTACTCGTACTTCCGTCGCGCATTCTCGTCCTTGTTCGTCCCTGATCTCTACCGTTACATGGTCGTTTTTGTTGTAACACTGTCTTGGTTGAGCGTTTCTTGTCGTCAGAACAAATTGTGCTTCATCTCCAACAGTTCCTTCCTCGAGTCCTTTGCCTNTTTTTGTTGTAACACTGTCTTGGTTGAGCGTTTCTTGTCGTCAGAACAAATTGTGCTTCATCTCCAACAGTTCCTTCCTCGAGTCCTTTGCCTTCAGCGATGCACTGACTTGCTTTTGTTGGGTGCAGAATTTCCAAATAACCAATTTCTTCGGTGGTGACAATGTTTACCAGCTTTTGATTTTCCGCGAAAGTTAAACGTACTAGAAGACCTTCAAGGTCACCATCAATTGGGTCGGTTTGATCAACTCCTGCGAAGATTGTCTCCAATGAATTTTTGATTTGCACTACTTCAGCGTTTATACTTCGCGTTAGAAGTTTTTCAGCCTTTTCTAGCGACGATTCTATGACCGTTGTTTGTTCCTCGATCTTGGTCTTACGCTTTGTCAGACTTTCAAGCGATTTGGTTGTTTGGTTTTCAACCGCTGAGAAAATACTTTGTTTCTTCGCTTCAATGACGGCAATCAAATATTCAGCAAGTTTTTGAACATCTCTCTTCACGACTTCGCCTTGTTGTATGAGGTTAGCGTAGTCTTCATCAAGCTGACGAATGATGTTCATCTTTGCTTTTAAACTGTTCCTATGTTTTTCAACCATAGACTTTATCTGAGTCTTTTGTTTTTCTGCTTCTTCTTGGATTAAGTTCATTGTATGGCTTTTGTGGCCTAATGTGACACAAGTTTGGCAAAC